GAACGCCTGACCTTGTGATCTGCCTGCCTTGACCTTCCAAAGTGCTGGACAGGCATAAGCTACCTCACCCAGCGCTTTTCTTAATATACCACACTACCTCCTTTCTGGATAAGAACACAACCAGGAGTAATGGATCTAGGTGTGGAGTCAGCAAGCAAGATTGGTTTTTACTGTCTTTAGCACGAGGTAAAATTGTCCTAAGAATTTCAACCAAGTGTTCATCGGACTAACTGTGGCTATTAATATTCGGGTCAGGAACAGGATTGAATAATTAGTATTGAGAGAGGAAAAACTTTGTCAACCAAGATGCCTTCCTAGGACTCCTCTAGAAAAAAATGGGAAGCTTTTCCTATCTACAATTTTGGTAAGCAATATTGCTAATGGCTATTTTTGTTCTGGGCCTTGAGCTCCGTTTTCTAGTCTAGAAAGTGCATTTCTGGGCTGTGTGTGGAGTATTACCTAGGAGTTTGGTTTCCCGGGTTCCTTTCATCTGCTCTCCTGCAATGCAGGGAGAGCCTAGCCTGGTCTCCAGTTTCTGACTGGAGTTACCATGGCCAAGAGAACTGCTGGCCACTGAGCTGTGAGTAATTTGCTTTTGAGAAGTAAATAGAACCTAACCAGCAGAGAACCCAGGGGTGTGGCCAGTAGTTCTTTTCCCAGGCTCCTCCCTCCCCACCCCCCAAATGACCTTAACCTTCTTTCATAGCTGGAGAGCAGCCAAGTCCAGCCTAAACAATACTCTCAACCTCATTGGTTCTTTTGCCTTACAGCCACTGCCACCCCCAAGTGGCTAAGGCCTACCCACTAGGACTGTCAGTGGGGTCAAGGTTTTATAACTACTGAAAGGCAAACACTGAAGGAAGGGTGAAAAATACCTAGTGTCCATGGGCTTTAAATGATGAGTGTGCAGCTCCTGAAGTTGGAGGTACGGCAGAGTCTTTGTCCTTGGGTGGATAAGCATCTTTGAGTTATCGGCAGAGGCCAAAAAGGTTGCTTTTGGTAAATGTCTGAGACCTGACTAGTGTCAACCCCAGGTGTCAGGATGTATGTAAATGCCACCTAGCATCCTTGGAAACTGCCAATGAATGCCCTTTTATCCACAGCAAAAAGAAGTAGCATAAAGTTCTGGTAAGGCACAGCTGCCTGTCATCAGAGGCCAGTATGGTCACTTTTGCTTCACAATGGCATGGTGTCAGAGCCAACCCCCCAGATTGGGATCAGCTATTCCAATACCATAGGACTGAGCCATGGAAAGTTTAGCATCTAGAAACTGAACTGCTGAGAGTAGGTATACTGGGCTAGTCCTCTGCCCACCCCGGGGCCAAGGCCACCTCCAGAAGCGAGGCAGGAGCAAGGCAAGGCAGCTACAGAGAGAAATGAATTGTCAATTGCTCCAGGGAAGTGAGTGTTCTGTGAGAACTACCTAACTTCCTTCTCTATACCTTCAGTGGGAAAATCACTCACTCTTTTTTGTTCAGTGAGTTATAGGCCCATCTTTATTGAGCATTGTATGCCAAGCACTATAAATCCTATGTGAGGTAGATATCATCTCCACCAGGCAAGGATTGTTTCTGTCTTGCTTCGTGTTGCATCCTCATCCCATCACATAGTAGACATTCTTGTACTGTTGAACAAATCAAACAGATAAGATAGGAATTTGGTGGTGGAAAGTGTAGGTCAGAGCTATTAAGACTTGGCGTGCCCATCTTAGCGTAGCCCGTAAAGACTTTTCGACATAGGGGAAAAAAGCAAGAGAGGGAAAGAGGTAAATCTGTGAAAGATTAAAATAGTGTGGAGTAGGAGAACCAGCCTAGGAGGCTGAGACCTGAATTCAAGTCCCATCACTACCACTAGCTATGTGACTTCTTGCCAATCACTTCCCCTTTGTGATCCTTAGCTCCCTCATCCATAAAATATAGGTATAAGTTTAAAGAAATTGATTTTTTTTTTTTTTTTTTTTTTTTGAGGTGGAGTTTCGCTCTTGTTACCCAGGCTGGAGTGCAATGGCGCGATCTCGGCTCACCGCAACCTCCGCCTCCTGGGTTCAGGCAATTCTCCTGCCTCAGCCTCCTGAGTAGCTGGGATTATAGGCACGCACCACCATGCCCAGCTAATTTTTGGTATTTTTAGTAGAGATGGGGTTTCACCATGTTGACCAGGTTGGTCTCGATCTCTCGACCTCGTGATCCACCCGCCTCGGCCTCCCAAAGTGCTGGGATTACAGGCTTGAGCCACCGCGCCCAGCCAGAAATTGATTTCTTGACCAGAGCTTTATTGAAGACACACAGTGTGCAAGGCACTGTTCTAACACTGGGAATACATTGGTGAACAAAGCCCCTGCTCCTCCATTACACTCTGAAGCTTACATTCCAGAAGAGGGAAACAGACGTTGAAACAAGTATTAAGTGCTATGAAGAAAATAGAGAACGGGCAGGCCGGGCGTGGTGGCTCAAGCCTGTAATCCCAGCACTTTGGGAGGCCGAGGCGGGTGGATCACGAGGTCGAGAGATCGAGACCATCCTGGTCAACGTGGTGAAACCCCGTCTCTACTAAAAATACAAAAAAAATTAGCTGGGCATGGTGGCGCGTGCCTGTAGTCCCAGCTACTCAGGAGGCTGAGGCAGGAGAATTGCTTGAACCCAGGAGGCGGAGGTTGCGGTGAGCCGAGATCGTGCCATTGCACTCCAGCCTGGGTAACAAGAGCGACACTCTGTCTCAAAAAAAAAAAAAAAAAAAAAAAAAGAAAGAAAATAGAGAACGGGCATGGTGGCTCACATCTGTAATCCCAGCACTCTGGGAGGCCAAGGTGGGCGGATCATTTGAGCCCAGGAGTTACAGACTAGCCTGGGCAATATGGTGAGACCTCATCTTTGTGTGTGTGTGTGTGTGTGTGTGTGTGTGTGTGTGTGTTTTTTTTTTAAACAGAGTCTCACTCTGTTGCCCAGGCTGGAGTGCAATGGTGTGATCTCAGCTCATTGCAACCTCCACTTCCTGGATTCAAGCAATTCTTCCTGCCTCAGCCTCCCGAGTAGCTGGGATTTCAGGCACCTGCCACCATGCCCAGCTAATTTTTGTATTTTTTAGTAGAGACGTGGTTTTGCCATGTTGGCCAGGCTGGTCTTGAACTCTCGACCTCAGATGATCCACCCACCTCGGCCTCCCAAAGTGCTGGGATTACAGGCTTGAGCCACGGTGCCCGGCCAAGACCTCATTTTTTTTTTTTTTTAAACAGACTGATGAGATAGTACAGGGAAAGCCTCTCTGAGGAGGTGACATCACTCCTGACACCCAAACATAATGGGCTAGCCAAAGGGTGGTCTGGTGGTAGAGTGCTTCAAGCAGGGAAAATAGCAAGAGCAGAGCTAAGCAAGTTCAAAGAACAGAAATGATGTAACCCTCTTAATTCTAAGCTTCTAGGATAGTAATGCATCGCTTGCATTGTTCAGGTTAGGGATTTGTATGTGATACTGTTTCTTGTGATGTGGCATATGCGTTTCTTAATGGAAGTGGCTGGGAAGTGTGGAGTCTTTCCGAAGCCCTGGGATATAGCTCTGTCTCACTTGCTTTCCACAGTTCTGTTAGCTCAGCTGGCTCCCTGGGTAGGTGCAGGCTCCATCTTAGCTGCAGACTCTACAAGCACACTGAGAGGCTGCCTCCTTCACTACTCACAGCCTTGGAGCCCCAGAATCCCCTCCTATCCCATCTAGCCTTCTTCCAATCTGAAACCAGAGAGTCAGGGCTTTGAGAGCACAAGATTCAGCTTCCTTGTTTTCCTGTCAGAGCAGAAGCCAGAAAATGAAACAGGAAACAGAGCGGAAGAGGAGGGGGTTGGGTAACAGAGAAGGAAAGAAGAAATTGCAGGAAAGTACAGCTGAAAATCTGGATAAAGTTCTACCTCTACAGGGTGACAGCTTAGCTTTTAAAAAACATTCTGACTTGTCTCGAGAGACCCTCTGGCATTTTTACAAATAGATTTTTGAGAGAATTTGGTGTGGACAGAGGGAACCCTGAGAATGCATGTCTTTTTCCTCTTGTGAATTTACAGAGCAAGGACAGTTCATTTCTCAGTTTTGTCTTTGCAAAGAGAGTGCTGCTTGGAGCCTTATGGTGGACTTCTAGAGTTTCAAGTCACAGCCTTTGGCCCTAGTCACAAGTGTGCACCCAGGCTTTGCCATGTCACTCACTGGACTCTGGAGCTGAGAACAAGTGAGTGGCACTGAAAAACCTGGGGGAAGGGCCATGAAACTCCATTTTCCCCCCTTCTCCAACACACAACAACTAAATGTGATTTGTACTTTCTCCACCTTGCACACAACAAATATATGAAGGCGATTTAGGTCTCAGGGACTGAAATGAGTTATAAAGAGTCAAGAGATAAAGAGTCCCAGGCCCCCACAGACTGATGTGGGCTGGTCTTCCCCTGGAGAGGTAGCAATCATCTCTTTGTTCCCACCCACATGAGTAGCTGTTGCAGAAGATAAACCCCTCCACAGAGCCAGGCTGTGGCCAGAGGCTAACCCGGACCCTGGCTTCGTTTAGAGGGCAGATAACTGAAACCACAAGAAGGCTTTGGAATCCTGAGAAACAAGAAATCCGCCAACGGAGAAGGATTTATCATCTGTTTCCTTTAAGGAGGGTGCAAAGTTGTTCTAACAGATTCCGTTACAAGGGTACCAACTGGCCGCTGCCCACCATAGACGGTTTTGTTGAATTCGCCTCTTTTTTTTTCTTCTTTTTTTGGCCCCACTTCGTACGAGAGAAACTGCTTGAGTGAGGAAGGTGAAAGAAGTCCTGGAGGGTGTTCTCTGAGGTTTTCCTCACCATCCTCATTAGCCACCTGAGGAGGGGCAGAGGACTGAAGTAGGACAGAAGGTCTCTGGTAGCTAGAGGAGGGGAAAATCAGGGGGATCCCCCACTTTCTTCACACCCAGGACGCAGGGTGCCGCTGCCGGCCACAGAAACCCCAAGAATGCTTTTCTTTGGCTATTCAGAGGACACCTATTGTGTGCCAGGCCCTGTGCTGAGCTGTTGTTGCCTGACAGCAGGAAGAGCGCGGCTCTGGCTTCTGTGAAGAGGCTGCGGGTCAGCCCCCAACTACTAGAGCCTCAGCCCACACCAAGAACTCAGTGAATGGTAGCGGAAAGGAACCGGGGCAAGACCACTGACTCAGCAGCCTTGGCTCACTATTTGGAGGCGGGGTGGCGGGGGGCATTGAAGGAGAGCGAAGCGCGAGAGAACTCTTCAGGTGTCACCAAGGTGGGAAGATGCTATGCGGCGAGGCGCCGAGCGGTGTCCCCCGCCCCGCTCGCCCGGAGTCAACATGGCCGGCCCGGAGGGAGGCGGGACTGCTCCAACTCCGGGCAGGAGCGGGGCGGGGACGCCGTCGGCGGAGCCAGCGCGCAGGCGCGGGCCGCGTGGGTCCCGGATGGAGGAGCTGCGGTTCGGTCCCCGCTGGAAAGGTCGGGACGGGCAGGCGCTGAGGACCCGGCGCTAGCTTGGGAGCCCTAGAGTTCTGGCGGGAGGGAAGCTGTCAAATGGAGGCCGGCAGAAATGAGATAGAGGCCCAGAGAAGCGGGGAGCCCCGCCCCTCCGCCATCGCGGCCTCGGGCGCCGCCTCTTCCTTTCCAGCCTCCCGCCCTCGCCTGCTTCCGGCCCCGTAGTCTGGTGGGGCTCCGCAGGCTCCCTCGGGAGTGGTCCCTGGGCCGTGGGCCCATCTTGGGTGAGAGTCAATGATTAGTCCCCAGAAGGGACGGTGTCCAAAAGGAGGCGGCCAGAAACGGGCTGCGGACACGGCTGGGCTGACGGAAGCGGCCCGCGAGGCCTTTGGCTCTAAGGACCCTGGGTTAGAGCAACTTCCCTAGCCCACGCAGTGGGTGTTGGTCCTACTCAGAGGGTCCAGAGTTACAGTTCAGCAGGATGTCCCAAATTCTCAGATAGGGCCCAGCTACCCTAAGCATACCCAGCAAGGGCAGGCTCTGGTACGGAAGTACTGGACTAGGCGTTTGGGTGACCTGGGTCATAATCCTGGCTCTGAAAGGGCGCATACCCATTGGCGAGGGATGCGGGCTGTTACCGTCAGGTTTAAGAAGCAAAAAACATGACAGCCTCTTTAAGTATCCCTGCGTGCGTCACCTGACCCCAGTTGGCCTCAGTTTCCATATCTATAAAATGGCGATGGTAATTATACTGGCCTCATAGTGTCTGATGAGATCTCTGGGGCCTATTTGTCTCATGGGAAAATGTTTAAAGAGTGAAACTAGTTGATCTGTAAGTGTCCTCCCAGTTAAGAGTCTGTGATTTGGCAAAGGGGTTGTTGGGAAGTGAGGTTAGCAATTAGCTGAGAGGGAGAATTGACTGGCTTTGTTTTTACTTGGTTTACCTGTAAGCAAAGTGTGGGCTACACATCTGTAGTCTCTGAGGCTAGAGTCTGAGTCCGAGAGAGGAAAGGAAGAATGCAAACATGGTCAAGTGGTCAAGTGGCATAGGTGGGTTAAGTGCTTTTCTCTTCCCAACTTATCTTCGTGCCAGTGTGAAGCCAAGGAAGGGGAAAAAAAAAGTGAATTCACCGGTAGGATAGGGAAGGAGTAGCCGTGTGAGGTTGGGTGTGCCTATTTACGTGATTTCTCTCGATTCATCGAGTCATATGTTGGAAACGTTGGGTAGATTCACGAACGACCGCTGCTCTCTGGGGCTTTCAGAAACTTGTCTGAACTGAATTTTCCTGAGCCAACCGGTGTGGAATTGGGGGCCCCTCCCTTCCTCCAGGCCTCCTGGCGATGGAGTAAGCAGCAGGCGCCCCCTCGTGCCGAGGAAGGAGTACTGTTGCCGTTGGCCAACTTGGCTCCCTTTCTGGGGAAATTTTATTTTCCTGTGGCTTCTGTGACTTTGTCGTCTTGCTCTTGACATGAGATATGATGGGAAGAATACGTGGGTCAGTGATTTCATATCTAGAGTCAGTGAACTGCTGATGCTGTATCCGGTCCCTACCACTTCGATTCATTCAGAACGCAAGTTTAAGATGCCTGTTTGTGTTCTAGGCCCTGGGATATAGTTGTGATATAAAGCCCCTGCCCTTAGCAACTTAAGCAATAGCAATAAAGGAAATAGGGCAGAATGTAGTGAGAGCATAGCACACTGGCTAGTGAGGATCAGAGAATTCCAGAAACAAGTGATAACTACGAGTTTGGTTGGTATTTGCCAGATAGGAGAAGAAAAAGAGTCTTCCAGCCCTCCTTAAATTTTTCAGTTCAAATATTTTTTTTTCTTTTAGGCATAGTTCTTCACTCCAAATTGATGAGCTGCCTCTGATGCTTTTGCTTCCCTTTTGAATTTCTCAGGCTGGTGTTTGAAAGTTCTTAAGGAGCCATTATGACTTCTTTTAGCCCAAGGAATTGTAAAAGATGCCTTAAAGTGCATTCCTTGCCTCTGAGTGGTTTTGCAGTTGTTTATACATTGCTACCATCCCAACAAAGAGATGGGAAATAGCAGTTTTCTTCATTTCTTAGTCTACTCTGTTTCAGCAGTGTGAGCTGGCTGAGGTCCTGCTGAGTGGTGGTTTTCTTTTCCTTTCCCACTTAACAGACCAGCTGAACACACATCAGAGAGCTAAGCTAGGGTGTGTAGTCATTACGGTCTTCCAGAATGGTTTTATGCCCCACTTTGGGGACTCTGGTTTGGGACCTAGTTTTTTATTCTGGGCAAGAGGAAAAGGTCACACACCAAATAATAACCACAACATAGATTTGAGTAAAACTTCACACTTTGATCTGTTTCACCATCATGACAATTTTGTGAGATAGACAAAAAAAAAGTTTGCTCCCATTTTTTACATAAAGAACTGAGGCTCAGAGAGACTAATAAGTACTTGTAAGCGATGGAGTCAGAACTTGAACCCAGATCTTTTGTTCCTGCAGAAGTGCATTCAATAGGCTTTAAACGATTTTCTGTGACCTTAGCTTTCCAGCTACCTGCTTATCTGTATGGAACTTGCCCAGTGAGAATTCGGTACTTCAAGGTGACACCTGCGAAACCCATTTACTGTCAAGATGCTTTCCCCTCATCTGGGAAGTTAGGTGACTGGTTAAGTTTGTCATAGTAATTCCGAGAGGGGAGGTCCCAACGAAGAATGCTTTCAAGAATTTGCTTTCACCTGATGTGTGACATTTTCCTCTTTTGGGGTTTAGAAGCCTGAGGGAGCTCAATCCTGGTAGCAACACCCCTGAATTCCTGGTGGTGAGAGGATGTGGCCCCAGGATCCATCCCGGAAGGAGGTGCTGAGGTTTGCAGTCAGCTGCCGTATCCTGACTCTGATACTCCAGGTCAGTCTCCCATCCTTTGTCCTGAATGTGCCATTGCTACATGACTGGACTAGGTGGTAAGAAAGAGTCCCCATCTCCTTTCCACCTCCCAGATGTGTCCCTCCATGTGGTTGGAACCATAGGGACATAGACTTTAGAGCTGAAAAGTGGTCAGGAATCTTAGAAACATGGTCTGTTAATCTTCTGTTTTATACGTGAAGCAGCAGAGGCCCAGAAAAGTTAAGTGTCATCCCTAAAGCCACATAGGAAGATAGAGAAGGGCTGGAGTTTGACCCGTGTTTCCTAACTCCTCAGCTAGTGGTCTCTCCAACAGACTGTGATGTTCTGTAACCAGAGATGCTTGTATGGTGTGACAGCTCAAAGTATTGCTCTGTGTCCCCTTACCAGGAGACTGAGCATTGTGTCAGTCAGTTGAGTGTGAGAGACGTGGCAATGTACAAGTCCTGAGACCATCTGCATATATAATGATTCCTCCTATTCCCCCGAGTGCCTCCCTTTCCTGCCTCATCCACACACAACTCTCAGTGCACTTGCCCTTTTGCAGCTCCCTTTCCCCTCCGAGGCTTGATACATATTTTAATAAAATGTCATGTATATATGAATTATTTGCTGCCTAGCACAGTACCTGATGCTTAGCTCAGTTTATTCATAAATGAATGAATGTTGTTGAATATATATCAACACGTAGGGGTGTTAGATTCACATAGTTATGTGTGCCTTTTGTCCCAGTACCATTTTCTCTGAGGCTTATAGCTGATTCCTTTGTGGAAACCTTTCCTCCCTCCTCCCCCACTATATAAAGTGTAGCAGCCTCTGCCGGGTTTTGAGATTAGTTAAACGTGTCCACCTGCAGGCTACGGCTGTTTATCTATGACTGTCACTCCTGTCGTGTTTGTTTTTACTGTTTGAAGTGGCCTGATAAGGAAACTGACCAAAAAGTGAAAAAGCCTTAAAAATGGGGCTATGCTCTTGTTGCCAGGCTAGGGAGACTTACTCAGTGATGTTTCTCAACCAGCAGCAGCTGGCTTCCTGGCAGAACCAAAGGAGCAGTGCTGCAAGTCAGCATCCAGGATAGGGAACCAGGACAGCCAGGTTCGAAATCAGGTGGTAATTTTGGAAATAGTATATTTCCTCTAGGCAGTTCATTCAACCACCAAAAATGTTTAAAATACCTATAGTAATAATCTAATAGGGCAAAAAGACTTCTTTTTTCTTTTTTTTTTTTTTGGAGACAGTCTCCAAAGGTTGGAATGCAGTGATGTGACCTCAGCTCACTGCAACCTCCGCCTCCTGGGTTCAAACGATTCTCTCGCCTCAGCCTCCCGAATAGCTGGGATTACAAGCAGCCATCAGTAGGCCCAGCTAGTTTTTGTATATTTAGTAAAGACGGGGTTTCACCATGTTGTCCAGGCTGTTCTCGAACTCCTGACCTCGTGATCCACCTGCCTCGGCCTGCAAAATGCTGGGATTAAAGGTGTGAGCCACTGTGCCCGGCCAGCAAAAAGACATTTAATAGTAAATGCTATTTTATTATCATCCTCCCACTTCCAGCTTTAACGCTCAAGCCATCAGATTATATCCCTAAATTACCCTTTGTTGTTGCTGTCATCTCTGTCAATGACAGCTAATCCTTGACGGTTTTAGCTCCTGGTTCAATATCACCCTTCCCAGGACTGCTTCTGTTGATTTCCTAGTGGTTTCATTATTTATTTATTTATTTTATTTATGAGACGGAGTTTTGCTCTTGTCACCTAGGCTGGAGTGCAGTGGTGTGATCTCAGCTCGCTACAGCCTCCACCTCCTGGGTTCAAGTGATTCAGCCACCTCAACCTCCGGAGTAGCTGGGATTACGGGCGTCTACCACCATGCCTGGCTAATTTTTTGTATTTTTAGTGGAGGCGCCATGTTGGGCAGGCTTGTCTTGAACTCCCGACCTCAGGTGATCCACCCACCTTGGCCTCCCCAAAGTGCTGGGATTATAGGCGTGAGCCACAGCGCCCGGCTAGTTTCATTATTAACGAAGATGATGTGTGCGTGTCCTGAAAGAGGCTATCCCTTGAGAGTGAGTACTGGGGAAAACGTGTTAGAGATTTGAGGAAAGAGAAAAACATGTAACATTCACCGACTTGTTTTCCTGAATGACAACTCAGAAAAATAGAGGGCATTAGAAGAGACCTTCCATATGCACCCACCACATTCTTCAGCCTACCTATGTCTGCACCTTTGTGCTTTCAGTACTGAAGGTTGGATCAACTATCTGTCCTCTTCCCTATGGCTGGCTCCTCTTCCTTTGTGGCAGATTCTATCCCTTTTGCCTACCCAGCAATTCTCCCCTCTCTCCTGCATACCCTTTCCCTGGGTTATTTCCACTAACATACAAACCCTTATCTCCCACCTTAAAAAAAAGTTTTAACCCCACATTTTTGTTCACCTACTACCCCATTTGTCTGCTTCCCCTTACTCCTCAAAGTTTCTCTTCCCAGTCTAGGCAGGCTTCTCTCTCTTCTGCTCCATTGAAATAGCCCTGGTCAAAGTCACCAGTGACCTTCACCTTGCTAAATCCAGTGGTCAGTTTTCAGTCCTCATACTACTTGACCTACCAGCAGCATTTACAGAGTTGATCACTCCTTTTCTTCCCTTGGTTCTAATGCTCTCTTGGGTTCCCTGCTACCTCACTGACTGTTCCTTTTTTCTTCATTACTGGATTTTCATCCTCTTCCTAGCCTTCATATATTAACATGTCCAGGGTTCAGTCCTCAGATCTCTTCTTTTGTTTAAATAAAGTCTCATTCTGTCACCCAGGCTGGAGTACAGTGGCACAATCATAGCTCACTGCAGCCTCAACCTCCTGGGCTCAACCAATCCTCTTACCTCAGCCCCCCAAGTAGCTGGCACTACAGGCATGTGCCACCACACCCGGCTAATTTTTATTTTTTAATTTCTAGTAGAGACAAGGTCTCGCTACATTGCCCAAACTGATCTCAAACTCTTAGATTCAAGTGATCCTCCCACCTGAGCCTCCCAAAGTGCTGGGATTAGAGGTGTGAGCCACTGTGCCTATCCTTTTTTTTTTTCTTTAAGTTTTTGTAGAAACAAGGTCTTGCTATGTTGCCCAGGGTGGTCGTGAACTTCTGGGATCAAGTAATCCTCCCATCTCAGCCTGCCAAAGTGGGGATTAGCCTGGTCTTCTTCCTCATTTTATTAAATGACAATTCTTTTCTTCCAGTTACTCAACCCAAATCTTGGTTTTTCTTTACTCCACAGGCCCTCTTCAATGCCATCATCCCAGATCACCACGCAGAAGCCTTCTCTCCTCCTCGCCTGGCCCCCTCAGGCTTTGTGGACCAACTTGTGGAAGGTCTTCTGAGTGGCCTGTCTCGCTGGGATGCTGAACACTTCCTTTTCATTGCCGAGCATGGCTATCTGTATGAGCACAACTTTGCCTTCTTTCCTGGTTTCCCCTTGGCTCTGCTGGTGGGGACTGAACTGCTGAGACCCTTGCGGGGGTTACTGAGTCTACGCAGTTGCCTGCTGATTTCAGCCGCATCACTCAATTTCTTGTTCTTCATGTTGGCTGCAGTTGCTCTTCATGACCTGGGTTGTCTGGTTTTGCACTGTCCCCGCCAGGCCTTTTATGCAGCTCTGCTCTTCTGTCTCAGCCCTGCCAATGTCTTCCTGGCAGCTGGTTACTCAGAAGCTTTGTTTGCCCTCCTGACATTCAGCGCCATGGGGCAGCTGGAGAGGGGCCGAGTCTGGACTAGTGGACTCCTCTTTGCCATTGCTACTGGGGTACGCTCCAACGGGCTGGTCAGTGTTGGCTTCCTCATGCATTCTCAGTGCCAAGGCTTTTTCTCTTCTCTTACGATGCTGAATCCCCTGAGACAGCTCCTTAAACTGATGGCCTCTCTGTTTCTGTCAGTGTTCACACTTGGCCTTCCCTTTGCCCTCTTTCAGTATTATGCCTACACTCAATTCTGTCTGCCAGGCTCAGCCCGCCCCATTCCTGAGCCCTTGGTACAGTTAGCTGTAGACAAGGGCTACCGGATTGCAGAGGGAAATGAGCCGCCTTGGTGCTTCTGGGATGTTCCTCTAATGTACAGCTATATCCAGGATGTTTACTGGAATGTTGGCTTTTTGAAATACTATGAGCTCAGGCAGATGCCCAATTTTCTACTGGCTACACCAGTGACTATACTGGTTGCCTGGGCAACTTGGACATATGTGACCACCCACCCTTGGCTCTGCCTTACACTTGGGCTGCAAAGGAGCAAGAACAATAAGACCCAAAAGAAGTCCGATCTTGGATTCCTCAGTCCTCAGGTGTTTGTGTACCTGGTCCATGCTGCAGTGCTGCTGCTGTTTGGAGGTCTGTGCATGCATGTTCAGGTGAGCTGGATTCGTGACTGGGATAAGGATGTGAATACAGGCAAAACCCCTTGGCCAAGGACAGGGAAGATAGCTAACATCTCCCATCTGAGTGATCCATACTGAATTTATTCATTCAACGACCTTTTTTTTCTTTTTTGAGATGGAGTCTTGCTCTATTGTCCAGGCTAGACTACAGTGGCGTAATCTTGGCTCACTGCAACCTCTGCCTACTGGGTGCAAGCGATTCTTCTACCTCAGCCTCCTGAGTAGCTGGGATTACAGGCATCCACCACCACGCCTGGCTAATATTTTATATTTTTAGCAGAGGCAGGGTTTCACCATCTTGGCCAGGCTGGTCTCCTGATGTCATGATCCACCCACCTCAGCCTCCCAAAGTGCTGTGATTACAGATGTGAACCACTGTACCCGGCCCATTCAACGACTATTTAGGAATGTTCTTTGTGCCAGACTCCAGGTCAGACCTCTAAGGAGAAACATGAATAAAACAAAATTACTGCCCCTAGGGGTTTAATGGTATAAATAGGAAGACAGACATTTAACAGATAAAATTATAGTACAATGGTATAGAAAGAGGAGTGCTGTTTTGAGATTTATTTTACTTTATTTATTTCTATTTTTTTGAGACAGAGTCTCCCTCTGTTGTCCAGGCTGGAGTGCAGTGGTGCGATCTCGGCTCACTGCAACCTTTGCCTTCTGGGTTCAAGCGATTCTTCTGCTTCAGCCTCCCAAGTAGCTGTGATTACAGGCACCTGCCACCACTGCCCAGCTAATTTGTGTAGTTTTAGTAGAGACAGGTTTCACCATGTTGACCTGACTATTCTTGAACTCCTGAACTCAAGTGATCTGCCCGCCTCAGCCTCCCAAAGTGCTGGGAATTCAGATGTAAGCCACCATGCTCAGCCTGAGATTTTTTTTTTTTTTTTTTGAGACGGAGTTTCACTCTTGTTACCCAGGCTGGAGTGCAATGGCGCGATCTCGGCTCACCGCAACCTCCGCCTCCTGGGTTCAGGCAATTCTCCTGCCTCAGCCTCCTGAGTAGCTGGGATTACAGGCACGCGCCACCATGCTCAGCTAATTTTTTGTATTTTTAGTAGAGACGGGGTTTCACCATGTTGACCAGGATGGTCTCGATCTCTTGACCTCGTGATCCGCCTGCCTCGGCCTCCCAAAGTGCTGGGATTACAGGCTTGAGCCACCGCGCCCGGCCTGAGAGTTTTTTTTAAAAAAGCTCAGATAAAGTATTATGGAGGCAAAGAAGAAGTATCTAATTCACTGGAGTAGTTGAGAAAGGCATTATATTTCAGCTGGGTCCTGAAGAATGAGATTTTCCATATAAGAAGCAGAGGAGGAACACTCTAGGTAAAAGGAAGGGCATATGTGAAAGAAAACATGAGGTTGTGAAAGGATTGGACTGAGATACAGGAATAAGCACAGAGGATATCTCTGGGATTTTCCCCGAATATACAGTTATATCCATATTGGCTTCTTGACTGTTGGCTTCTGGAGGTACTCAACTCAGGCAGGTGCTCAATTTCCAGAGGAGATATCATATCTAAGGTCTTGGGTGGTGGTGGTGGTGGTGATGATAGAGAGGGATGGGAAAGGTTTGATCTTGTATCTGATTTTCTGTTCTTGCTGTGGCCCCACCCTGGGATGTCTTTTTTCCCCATGCTGACCTCTCCTTAGCAGTTTCTTCCTCTTGGAGTCACACATCGGCTGTTTCTGAAGTTCTCTAAGCTGTATGGATAAGAGACACAGAGGAAATAGGAAGTCGCTTTCTATGTTTTGTTTGTTTGTTTGTTTGTTTTGAGACAGAGTTTCACTCTTGTTACCCAGGCTGGAGTGCAGTGGCGCAATCTCGGCTCACCGCAACCTCCACCTCCTGGGTTCAGGCAATTCTCCTGCCTCAGCCTCCTGAGTAGTTGGGATTACAGGCACGCGCCACCATGCCCAGCTAATTTTTTGTATTTTTAGTAGAGACGGGGTTTCACCGTGTTGACCAGGATGGTCTCCATCTCTTGACCTCGTGATCCACCCGCCTCGGCCTCTCAAAGTGCTGGGATTACAGGCTTGAGCCACCACGCCCGGCCCCGCTTTCTATGTTTTTAACTGGATTAAATCATAGAATGAGTGCCAGCAAAGCTTAAGGTTTTCAGGTTAGCTGAGGGAGGCCATTTGTAAACTTGTTTCTGAACTCCTGTAGCAGAGAGAATGTTCAAGCAATGGGTCTCCTGCCCGTTTTCCTCTGCTTTGCCATCCCGTGGGATAAGGGAACCGCCTCAGGTTCCCAAGCCCAAAATCAATAGCACAGAGTTTGGAGTCCATGCCCTGGGCTAAAATTAGACTCCATGGTTTCTAGTACTGATTGGCCCATTATTGTAATAGTACATGTTACTATTACATAGTACATGTTACAATAGTCTGTTTATTTGTAACATGGAAGATGTCTGTCTGCTGTTCCATGCATCTTTCTAAGACATATCCTAAGTTCTGTTCAATTTATTTTCCAGAGTAATACATTTCTAGTCATGGGCCCACGGTTCACCCAGCAGTAGAGAGGTCCCCAGGCTGGTCCAATTTGAGTCAGTGACATTTCAGTAAATTCCTGGATGTTCCCCTCTTACGATTTCTAGGTTCTCACCAGGTTTTTGGGCTCCTCCACTCCTATTGTGTACTGGTTTCCAGCTCACTTGCTTCAGGATCAAGAGCCGCTGTTGAGGTCCTTAAAGACTGTGCCTTCGAAGCCTCTAACAGAGGACTCCCCACCAGGACAAAAGGTCCCTAAAAATCCTATCATGGGACTTTTGTATCACTGGAAAATCTGTTCTCCAGTCACACGATACATTCTAGGCTACTTCCTGACTTACTGGCTCCTGGGACTACTCCTTCATTGCAACTTCCTGCCTTGGACATGACTGGGACTCTCCAGGGACAGGCTGAAAGCCGACTTAACCCAGGGGTCTGAAAGTAAAACTGCACATTGGAACTGCCTGTGCTGCCTTGGATCATTGCTGTGTCCATTATAATCTCTCTCTTTGAAAGCTGGTCAGGAATGGGAGAAGTGTCAGCTACTAGAGAGCCCCTTCTGGTCCCTGGCTAGGGCAAATTTTAGAGTAACAATATTTTCTGTAACTGAAGATTGTCTTATTCCAAGTCTAAAGTACACCTGGATCTGTCTAGTCAATCAACATAGCAGAGATCGTCTTAAACCTATCACTGACCTGCTTGTAATTTAAATGTCAATTATTGAAGTGTAAATTTTGTCAAAGGTATTAACTGACAGGCAGCTAACAGTCCACACAAGATGGTACAGGCCTGAACAGTGTAGTGGCAGTAGTGAAGTGGGACCATTTTTTCCAACTGGGACGTTGTTTCTGATGAATTTTTATAATGATTTGTGCATTTATTTTTTTATATGAAAAAAATCTTACAAAGATATGCAAATTAAACTTCTTTCAGTTATATGTGCAATGAATTGCCTTTTTAAAAATAATACAGGGTGGGCACGATGTCTCACACTGTAGTCCCAGTACCCTGTGAGGCTGAAGTGGGCAGATCACTTGAGGCCAGGAGTTTGAGACCAGCCTGGCCAGCATGGTGAAACCCATCTCTACTAAAAATACAAAAATTAGGGCATGGTGGTACACACCTGTAATCCCAGCTACTTGTGAGGCTAAGGCATGAGAATTGCTTAAACCTGTGAGGCAGAGGTTGCAGTGAGCTGAGATCATGCCACTGCACTCCAGCCTGGGGAACAGAGTGAGACTCTGTCTCAAAAAAAGTAAAAAATAAAAATAATACAAATGTATGATCATGCTGTTTCCTTTTTGTGGTAAAAAGTAAAATAATTTTTTTTCTTAAAATTTTTTTTTAAGCTGACAGTTTTCTGAAAAAGTTAAATAATTTTTAAAAATTAAGATAATACAAATCAGTTGGAGGGAAAAGGGTAAGAAGAAGGTATCAGGAACCCTGGATTCTAGTCCTCTCAGTAAAACCCCATTTACCAGCCATGTGACTTGGGAGAGTTTTCAGAACCTTAGTTCCCTCCTCTGAAAATCGTGTGAAATTATGATATTCTTCAGGGGGTGGTGGTGAACCATACAGTCTCTTGTAAGTCCCTTTCTGCTCTAAGATCTTAAGAACTGCCTTAAACAACAGAATCTCCCCAGCCTAAACCCTTATGTAGAGGCTTAAACATGTGATTTTAGGAGGAAATACCTAATTCTGTCTTCAGCAATTAGAAGAAACTCTTCCTCCACCCCTGGAGTGCAACTCTGGGGAGGAACTTAGGTGGTCTTTCCTTTGAATGAGGGAAAGCAGTGATATCTGGCAGGTAAGGTGCTTGTTGTGCCGTTCTCAGGGGCCTGCTTCCTCGACCGGTAGACATGCATTAGAGGAGCCAAAACAGCAGCAGGAATTGGTAAATTGTGCGTAATTGCAAGGTGGTCCAAGGTGGAATGAAATAGTATCTGCTTCCTGGCCCCTGTTTGATTATGAGCCTATCACTGTAATTGTAGTAAGATCATTGACCCCTGCTGAGCTACTTTTGCCCATTCCTTGAGCCAGGTAAGCGTTTGGCTCTGTAACATCCATCAACTCTTTTAAATTTCCCACTTAAACCAAAAAAGTCCAGTAAGTAGAAACTCTTCAAAACAGATGAGTAATCATAAGCAGCTTCTGGAGAGACTCAAGAATTAGAATTTTGACACACTCCCTCTGACCGTGACAGAAAGCTAGACTTGCCAGCTGAAGGGAAGCTCCTGGCTGAGCCCCAGCACCCTCTGTTGGAGCTTCTGGTCAGCCTGGCCAATAAGCACTTCCCGTCCATCGCTGCAGCACTAGCACAGCTGAGAGAATTTGGTCCAGAGTCAAATGCTTCTGAAAATGTACACACCGATCGGGGCAGCCCTCTGTCTTCTGCCAAGACACCGAGTGCCCTTCTTGGCAAAAGATGGTCACCCCTGCCCTAATGTCCCTCCAGTTGGCAGAAACTGTTTCCTTTCTCCTTGCCAACAGCTGCAAATCCAGAGACTTCCACCCTGTGTGCAGGAAGTGTCAGGGTCCTGTTTCGGCGCTCTGTTGCTGAGGTAGGAGCACTGGATTCTTTGCTCTCCTCTTTGCCTCCTTTTGGGGGATAATCAGGACTGATTATTCATCTACTGGAAGAGGTGACTCAGACCCCAGAAGGTAGGTGTGATGTCACTGTTCTGGCACTTTCAGCTTAACTAGAGCTCATCATACCCAGAAACCTGTAACAGGAGCCCAACTAGGTGGACGCACCTGGCCTGAGCTGGACAAAGTTTTCTTTCTGACCTTGCAGGGATTTAGTTGTTCTCTAAGGATCTATGGAATGGGCTGATTTTATGACCAGCAGCTGTCCTTTTACCATCCTATTAACAGTCTCTTTAATAGTCTGGGAGAGGGACTTGAAGGGCCCAAGGCAGGAAGTTTCCTGTTTACCCTGAGGTCTAACAATGCCACAGCTAGGTGGGGTGTCTACAATTTCAGAGAAGAGTCATTTCCTTCTGAGACCCTGCTAAAACAGAAAACAGACGCCTAGAAGTACCTAGAAGTAGATGCTTTTTTTTTGTTCTTTAATGAAGGTGGGAGGAGAGTGTTTGACATGCCTTTACCAGTCCTCCTGGAAAAATGTCACTTTTCTGAACAGACCCTCTCACTATCATCTAAAAATGTAATACGCGCAGGCTCAAGGGATTTGAAACTGATTGATTCTTTCAGTAATTGTTTATTAATACCGATTTTAGGGGAATAAAGATGACCCACCTATGCCTCCTGTCCTCAAATAACTGTCTAATAAAGTTGCTAGCAGACACAGAAAAATTAATGAAGGCAGAAAACAATAAATTCTGGGGAATGAAAGGACTCTTCTTGCTCAATATCTCACTACTTGAATTTTTTTTTTTTTTTTTTTTTTTTTTTTAATTGAGACAGAGCCTTGCTCTGTCACCCAGGCAGGAGTGCAGTGGTGCAATCTCAGCTCGCTGTAACCTCTGCCTCCCGGGTTCAAGTGATTCTCCTGCCTCAGCCTCCAAAGTAGCTGGGATTACAGGAGCCCGCCACCATGCCCAGCTAATTTTTGTATTTTTCAGTAGAGGCAGTGTTTCACCATGTTGGCCAAGCTGGTCTCAAACTCCTGACCTTGTGATCCACCCATCTCGGCTTCCCAAAGTGCTAGGATTATAGGTGTGAGCCACTATGCCCAACCCTATTTGAACTCTTTTTTTTTTTTTTTTTTTTTCAATGAGACAGAGTCTTGCTCTGTCGCCAGGCTGGAGTGCAGTGGTGCAAACTCGGCTCACTGCAACCTCTGCCTCCTGGGTTCAAGCGATTCTTCCACCTCAGCCTCCCGAGTAGCTGGGACCACAGGCACGTGCCACCATGCCCGGCTACTTTTTGTATTTTTAGTAGAGACGGGATTTCACCATGTTAGCCAGGATGGTCTCGATCTCTTGACCTCGTGATCCGCCCACCTCGGCCTCCCAAAGTGCTGGGATTACAGGCGTGAGCCACCGCGCCCGGCCTTTGAACTCTTTATGATTAGAATGAATTCAGGTTTTATTTGTGCACTTAGAAAAAGGTAAGTGGGCCGGGCGTGGTGGCTCAAGCTTGTAATCCCAGCACTTTGGGAGGCCGAGGCGGGTGGATCACGAGGTCGAGAGATCGAGACCATCCTGGTCAACATGGTGAAACCCCGTCTCTACTAAAAATACAAAAAATTAGCTGGGCATGGTGGCACGTGCCTGTAATCCCAGCTACTCAGGAGGCTGAGGCAGGAGAATTGCCTGATCCCAGGAGGCGGAGGTTGCGGTGAGCCGAGATCGCGCCATTGCACTCCAGCCTGGGTAACAAGAGTGAAACTCCGTCTCAAAAAAAAAAAAAAAAAAAAAAAAAAGAAAAAGAAAAAGGTAAGTGAAGCACAGAGCATGTACTCTGTAAGTTCACACAAGATGGAGATCCCTTCCAGTTTGGGATGCCTGAAAAGACTTTATGGAGAAATGGTAGTTAAGCTAGACTTTGAAGGATAGATAGGATTTGAAAGTTAAGGGTATAAAAAGAAAAAAAAAAGTGCTTCTTTTTGGAAGCACTTTTTGGAAGCTTCTTTTTGGTAATGGAGGAATAAAAAAGAAAAAAAAGAAAGTTAAGGGTAGAGAATGAATATAGAAGGCAGGAAATGGAACAGGATGGGACAGGGAGAGCTCAGTGTGAGTGGAGCTGAGGTCTTAATCTAGGCTTTGAAATCAGCCCCAAGCCCAGCTCTACTGTGTACTAACTGTGTAAACTTGAGCCAGATACTGACTCTCTAAGCCTCAGTTTACTCATCTGTAAAATGTAGATAATAATATCTAGCTCATAGATAAAAGAAAAATAGGCTGGGCGCAGTGGCTCAAGCCTATAATCCCAGCACTTTGGGAGGCCGAGGCGGGTGGATCACGAGGTCAAGAGATTGAGACCATCCTGGTCAACATGGTGAAACCCTGTCTCTACTAAAAATACAAAAATTAGCTGGGCATGGTGGCGCGTGCCTGTAATCCCAGCTACTCAGGAGGCTGAGGCAGGAGAATTGCCTGAACCCAGGAGGCGGAGGTTGCAGTGAGCCAAGATCGTGCCATTGCACTCCAGCCTGGGTACCAAGAGTGAAACTCCATCTCAAATAAAAAAAAAAAAAAAAAAAAAAAAAAAAAAGAAAAGAATAATAACATCCCATAGGGTAGTGGTGGGAACTAAATGTTACCATATGAAAAGTGTTGAGAACAGTGCTAACAAAGGAACAACTGCATTTTGGACATGTTGGGTTTATGATGGCAGCAGCACATTTATGTGCCAGGAAATGTGGGACTGGAGACCAGGAGAGTGGTCAGTCATCCACACAGACATGGTAATTACAGCACCCATGCTATTGGATGGGATTGTCAAAAAGTGTAGAGAGAGAAGAGAGAGGCTCTAAGAGTGTGGGCAAGTGGCGCAACCTCTCTAAGCCTGTGTTCTCATCTACAATGGGGCGATAGCATCTACCACATGGGCCGTCATGAAGATAAAATGCTTAGTACAATGCCTGGCATATGGCAGGAACTTCATGAATGGTAGCTATTTTATTATCATTATTATAATTAAAGGACCAGAAACAAATTCTATCATTGGGGAAAAAGAGAGTTTCAAGGCCAGGCACGGTGGCTCATGCCTGTAATCCTAGCACTTTGGGAGACTGAGGTGGGTGGATCGCTTAAGCCCAGGAGTTTGAGACCAGCCTGGGCAGCATGGTGAAACCCTATCTCTACAAAAAATACAAAAATTAGCTGGGTGTCCCAGTGTGCGCCTATAGTCCCAGCTACTTGGGAGACTGAGATGGGAGGATCACCTGATCCCAGGAGGTCAAGACTGCAGTGAGCCATGATCACACCACTGCACTCCAACCTGGGTGACAGAGTGAGACCCTGTCTCAAAA